CATTATGTTGGAAAATGCTATGAAGTTCATTAAGGTTTTTCATCGAATGGAGGAAGAGGATGAAGATTACAATGAATACTTCAAAAAGAAAGTTGAAGAAGAACCTTCTAGTCCATATGATTGGGGTGTTGCAAAGGAGTTTATAATCTTCTTGAAGCTATTTTACTCCATGACTTTGAAATTTTCTGCATCAAATTTTGTGACATCCAACACATGTTTTCAGCAAATAGTTGTAATGCAAACCAAGCTTAAGACAAGTGCAACTAATTCTAGTGCTTTATTGGGTAACATGATGAGACGAATGCAAAGTAAGTTGGATAAGTATTGGGGTAAGGCAGATAACATGAATCTGTTGTTGGTGATAGCAGTGATACTAGACCCTAGATACAAATTTAAGTATGTCCAAGTTGCTTTAGAAAATATATATTCTGAGCCCATGCAACTTGAGCTATTCACAAAAAATGTCATGGATGTCTTGCATAGCTTATATGAGGAATATTCAAAGGATGCCTTTGACGGTGAAGCTTCTCAAACTCAAGCAAGAGCAGAGCACAGAGATGACAGTGTTAGGGGGAATCAAGAGTCAATTCCCAATGATGATGTCTTGACAGTCATGGATGATGAAATAATGAGACAGTTCTATATAATTGCAAGCACTGAACGCCAAAAGGAAAAAAATTCAGAGGTGGATGAATATCTTTGTGCTGAGTTAGTTGCTTCTCATAATCTAAAATTTGATGTTTTAGCTTGGTAGAAAGTGAACGCTTTCAAGTATAAAGTCTTGAGTTTGATTGCATGTGATGTTTTGGCTTCACCTGTCTCTAGTGTGTCCTCAGAATCTGCTTTTAGCACGGGAGGTCGAGTATTGGATACTTTTAGGAGCTCCTTATCTGCAAAGATGGTTGAGGCACTCATTTGTGGTCAAAGTTGGCTTTCTCAACCTACTTTCAAATTGAAAGAGCTTGATGTTAATAATTTTGATAAGTCTGACAATCTTATTATTGGTAATTTCATTAACACTTTTACTTTATATTACTTTATATTGTTCAAATATTAATGAATATCATTTTCTTAACTTGTTTTGTAGAGGAAGAATCAGGGGCTCAACGTTCAACCATTTCTAATGATTCTGAAGATGATGATGACGACCCAATGTAAGATTAAACATGTGGTTGATTGTTTGAAGAACTTTTTTCATTTGTTGTTCAGTTGTGTTGTTGCCTTGTGATAAGGCTATTTGTTTTGGATTTTTGCTTGTGACTTGTGGCATGACTATTTGTCAACTTGTGTGGTTGTTTTGATTTGATTAATGTTATGATTTGAAGATTAATGATGCTTGGATGACTGTAATATGTAATTACTAATATGAGAGCTTGTTTCCTTTGATGATGGTAATATTTAAATTGTTTTTAGATGGAATTAAAAGAATTTGAAGTGTAGAATATATATATATATATATATATTTGGGCAAAAGAGGACTGTTTGTCCAAAACGGGCCAGTCAGCCCGCCCAGTCTGTTTGCAACCCGCCCAGCCCGTTTTCAAATGGGTTGAAACGGGCTGCAAACGAGTACGGGTTGGCCCAGCCCATTTTGGATAAAACGAGATGGGCCACGAGCAGTCCTACGAGCCAGCCCATCCCGCCTGTTATTCAGCCTTACTTGCGAGTCAAAATCTATCAGTACTTTGAAGTCTTTCTTTTTCAAAAACAAAAAAGTTATATAATAGGCATGTTTTAGGGAGAATTACATTGTCATTGTTTTTTGGTCAAGTCAATGGTGGATCTTATAATATTTAAATATGTTGCACGAAACTTGTGTATAATTCTCCACATGTTTTAACATAAAAGATGTTAAAATTATTAATAAAAGTTAGATCTAATAAAAAGAGCTGATTTTTTACTGTATGAAAAATTAAAATTAAAATTCTCGTTAAAAGAATTATTTATATTTAATATGTCATCGTATTTGAAATAAAATTTTTTAAAGGACACTTATGACTAGTTAAAAAAGGTCAACACTGCAGCAACGTGTGAATAATGACTGCTCTGTGACCTTTCGGAACAATTCACCACTTCTAAAAATAATCCAAAAAATTATAACATGGTTTACCAAAAGGTGTCAAATCAGGAATGCTTGTGCACATGGTTTGATCGGCCTAACCCAGCCGGTTTGACCTGTTCATATTGAGTCGGTTTTACTCCGTAAATTTCAACATCTATGGTTTATGTTTTTTTATACATTAGTTGAGTTTCTCTTAATGAGATAAGCTCAGCATAGATAGTTAGCTTAATCTGAAAGTGATGTTGTGTTGTTCATGTTTTATTATATTGATTGATTGATAATGACTTTGAAGTCACCCGTGGAAAATTCTTTGCCTCAAGTAACAGTTTTTTTAAAATATTAAACAAACTAAATTATTGTACGGAATATTAACTCTCAAATTAGATAAAATGAATGGAGAAGGAAGATTTTAATAATTGAATTTCTTAAAAAAAAAGATAGATGAGATTGAAAACTTATAATACAGATAACTTGTAAAAGAAAACGAAAGTAAATATTAATTAAATTTTTTTGCCATAAAGTTAATTAAAAATTTTAAATTACACTACTCCTCTATTCTTTTTAGAGCCTCAATTCTTATTAAATTTAAAATATCTGAATATATCAAAAATTTATAAACAAGCCTGACTCTCCTATTATTGGCTTTTAAATTTATTTAGATTAGTTTAACTATCTCAAATTGTCAAAAAAATTTTAAATATTAAAAAAATAAATTATTGTATGGAATATTAACTCTCAAATTAGATAAAATAGAATGGAGAAACAAGATTTTAATAATTGAATTTCTTAAAAAAAGATAAATGAGATTGAAAACTTATAATACAGATAACTTGTAAAAGAAAACGTAAGTAAAATTAATTAAATTTTTTTTCCATAAAATTAATTAAAAAATTGTAAATCACACTACTCCTTTATTCTTTTTAGAACCTCAATTCTTATCAAATTTAAAATATCTGAATATATCAAAAATTTATAATTAAACCTGACTCTACTATTATTGGCTTTTGAATTTATTTAGATTGGTTTAATATCTCAAATTGTCAAAAATTATTTTATTTTACTTTTCTCTTTATTGAATCCATTAATTTCTTTTTTGAATATTATTTTAACCAATTTAAATATTTAATTTTTTAAAAAATTACAATATAAATAGTTTTAAATAAAAAATTAATTTTTAGTATAATTTAAATTATTTTTAGATAATGTTATATTTAAAAAAGGGATATTTTAATTTAATATATGTGACTTTATCATCAACTAATGATTAGATGGATAAAAATAAAATTTTAAAAATAAACAAATATTTATATTTTATAATTAGTCATACTAAAAAATGTTTAGGTTTAAAAAATAGAATAAAAATATCATTAATTAAAATAAAATAAATGAAAAGTTAAAATATTTTACTCTTTTTTACTTATAAGATTCATATTAACAATTTATTTTTTAAAGGTCTCACATGTGCCTCTTTTATTGTTGGCCCACATTATTCTTTACTTATTTTTACTATATCATATTAAAAAAACTATCGAATAAAAACTTAAAAAAAAGAAAAAGTTAGATAAGAACTGAAAAAAAAGAAAAGTCACATGGGAAGGAAAAGCAACCACAATTACAATATATTATAGATATAGACATAAATTATAGGTTATAAATACTCTTTTTATTAAAAATATAAGATATTTTTAATCTTTTAAAGTGTAATTATTACCTTTTTCTTAATAAATATTGAATAAATTACTTTGTATTTATTTTAAGGTAAAAATTTTTATTAAATAGGAATAAATATAAAAAAATAAGATTAATTTGAATATAAGTAACTACTTTATTGGATGGTGAGATTTAGTTAAAAATACTTTATATTTTTAGATAGAGGGAGTATATAATAAAATAGTAATAACAATTACTGTATTTTTATAAACATTAATGATTAATGATTCAAAATTTCATGTGAAGGACAAAATATTAGAATTAGAATTAGAGAAAAATGCACATAATGACATAACTCAATGGTGAAACTAAATTTTAAAAATTTGACAGTAAATATAATAATTATAAAAATAATACTAACTTAGATGTATGAATAATAAATCTATTGTAACATTTAATTTTAATTCAATATAATATATTAATTTTTATAATTTGGGAGACGTTTGCCCTTTACCCTCATGTCTCAAAAATAATTAGTCTTCATTGTAGGTGAGGTGTCTTTCTCGTTTTTTTTTTTTTATGATTTTTGTGGCAATTTCATTTGGGGTCGGAATTTTTTTAAAAAAATCTTTCATCTCCCTGAGTCAAGAAAAAAAAAAACTAACAAAAAAACAAAGCGACGTACGTGCGTCCACAACTCCCGCGAGAATCCCATTATTCCCATATGCCTTTGGCGCGTTTCTCACGCGCCACGATGCTGCGTTTCGCAGCGTCCCACCTATCCCTTCATGGTAACTATAGTGTGAAGGAGGGGGCTTTAAATTCTAATTCCAATTGGATAAGAAAGAGACAGCCTCACCTAATCTACTCTCTTTAATCTCATCCATACACGTGTCCCGCCTTTTCTCTCATCTTGCACGTGTCTCCACCTCACCCCCCAAACCTCAGTGACTAATCCGAATGCCTTAGTTTCCACCAATCATAGCCTTCCTTTTGTCAATTTCTAGATCTTTTCACTGAGGTGAGATAGTAATCTATCTACCCAATATTCCGAAAATACCCTTCATAAAAACCCATTTTTCCTCCCCTCGCCTTCCAAACTTGTCTCCTTTCGCAGTACTATATTTGTCTTTACGAAATGTTACCCGCGACCTGAAAGTTACCTTGTTTGAGAAAAGAATAAAATAATATTAATAAATAACTTTCTGATTTTTTTTCTTTGGAGAAATATTAAAAAAATTGTTTTTCTCCTCGTTGCCTACCCTTTTTATTCAGAGCCTGGTGCATCCGTCTCTTTTTCCTTGTTTCCTTGATTGCTTCGCTTCGGTACATTTCCTTTGCATTTGATTGAATTGAATGCCTCTTCTCTGTGCTTCTGCCTTAGCGTCTGTATAACTTAACACTGTTGCGATTCGCTCCTATTCGCGTCTTCTGTACTCTTGAACCAGATCCACTTCTTCCCTTCGTCTTCCTTGTTCTGAATTTCTGTCCATTAAACTCTAAAGTTGCATCGCCTTTTTGTTCTGGTTCCGATTCACAGGAACTTTTGAACCCTTTTTCTCTTTAACAGAACCCCTTCCACATTACAGATCCTTTGGTTCTTCGTAGCTTCGATTGAATTGGTAGCCATAGATAGGGACTTGTTCAATCTCACCGACAAAACTCAATTCTGATATCGTTGACTATATAGTTGCTCTTTCTTGGATTAGTAGAAAAGCTTCTGAGTCTTCTTTTCTGCTCAGTTTCCAAATCTGCTCTTGGTGGTGTTTTTGTTTTTATTCTATTGAGTATAAGAATGTTGGGTACTGGGTCACAGTTTGGGCGTGCCCGCGGAGAGGATCGGTTTTATGATCCGGTGAAGGTGCGGCGGTCCTTGCATAGCGTGGAAGGTGATAGATTACGGCGCGCTAATGGCGACGTTCCGGCGAGTCGTCCGTCACATTTGGTTAAAGAGAAAACGGTGGATTCAGTAAACAGAGAGCCTGAGAACCGGGTAGGATCTGAGGAGTCCAAGAAGCCTGCTGCTGTGCCATCTTCTCCCAAACCCGTGTTGAAGCGATTGAGTAATCTTCAGCGCTTCTTGCTGGCGATCACGCCCTCCGTGCCTGCTCAGTATCCATCCAAGGTCTGTTTGTTCAGTAGCCTATGTGCATAATCAGTTTGATGATATGGTTTACATATCCTGTTATAATTTCTTTGGTTTGTTACTATTGAGAGTTGCCGGGACTGGGTAAGTAAATGAAGACGATGCATTTAATTTGTTTGTTATTAATTTTTAGTTAGCTTATGGATTCATCAAAACTATTATGTGATTTCCTGCTTTTGTTTACAACGGATTAATTAATGGGAATTGTAGTTATGTGATTGCAGAAATGAATAGCTATTTGCCATACGTTTTAACTGTGGATTGACTATTGCAGACGACCATGAAAGGTTTCGTGCCTTGTGGCGGGGAATTTCAGCCTTACTTCGTTCTTGGTGATTTGTGGGAATCATTCAGGGAGTGGAGTGCATATGGTGCGGGAGTGCCTCTAGTACTAAATGACAATGATAGTGTCGTTCAATACTATGTTCCCTATCTCTCTGGAATTCAAATATATGCTGAGACTATGAAGCCCTCTACTAAATCAGGGTATACAGTTTGTTTTGATGGTTTTGAATCAGAAGTTTGGATGGCACTTGGTGTGAAATATTTACAACGGGGTGTTTCTACGAGTTTAGCTAGCCTTTTAAACTGTGCTGAAGTGAATGAAGTTACATGCCTTTTCATATTTAATCTATTTTGGAAAACTAAAAAATAGCCACGTGAAGTGGGGGAGCTTCAAGTTCACCATTTTAGGGGATCTCCAATTTCATAGGATCCCCATCCATTCTTGTCGTGGTGATGGTTTCATTGCCCCCTTTTTTCTGTCGCAAGATGACAACATTCTTTCATGTTTTTGGCTATAATGTTAGTGTTAAGCATACCCCATGTTTCAGTAATTATAAATATTAAATAGGCTTTAAGAACCATATATCTCCCAACGATACTTATGTCTGTTGCTTGATGAGATAAAAGGGCGTATTTTACTTCTGGCTGCCTTTTCATTCATTGCCTCCTACTTCGCTTTATGATATATTGGATTGTTTTTTTTTTTTTTTGTATGGTTAAAGTGCTTTTTTCTTTTTTTTTCTCATTTGAAGAAGCAACTGAGTTTATTTTTTTACTGATATGACATGTGGGTACAGTTTGAAAAGTGGTGGTAAACATTAGTGGTTTTGGATATTTCATTGCAGCATTCATGGATTTCTTGCTGGATTAGTATAATGTTCAATGCTCAATTTGACCTTGTGTTTTTTTAATCATTTTGATTTGATTGCTGGGTTTTTGGGTGATGATGGTGATGGTGATGGTGCTTTACTGTTCGTGTAGATTAGTGGACTTCAATTGCATGCTTCCTTTTTTCTCAGATGATTTTTATGCAGTTCTCTTGCATATTAATTGTGTGATTCTTCCTCTGACAGGCAACTTGGTGAGGACAGTGACAGTGATTTTAGGGACTCAAGTAGTGATGCTAGCAGTGATTATGAACCTGCAAGGGGATTAAAATACATGGGGGAGCAGAGGAATCTTCACCTGTCAGAGGTGCACCATTGGTTAGATAGATTATCCATGAGGGATCACCATACTGTCACTCAAGATGGTTTTTCTAGTGACGACGGAGAATCTGTTAATCCCCAAGGCTGCTTGATTTTTGAGTATCTTGAACGGGACCCTCCATACAGTCGGGAACCTTTGGCTGATAAGGTGTGTTTGTGCTCTCCTTCCCTTCCCTTCTCTGCCTTCCTCTCCAGTTTACTGGAACAAAGTTATTATATCTCATCACTGCCCCTTTGTGTAGCCTTTTGATTGGGCTTTCTGTTCTATTTTGGTGCAGATATTGGACCTTGCCTTTCGTTTCCCTGAGCTAAAGACACTTAGAAGTTGTGACATACTCTCTTCAAGTTGGATATCTGTAGCCTGGTACGATCTCTTTATACCTATGCTTTTGGCAGTCAACTTCAAGATGCTTAAGTGGCTGATCGTTTTGCATTTTACTTGTAGGTATCCAATTTATAGGATACCAACTGGACCAACACTGAGGGATCTTGATGCTTGCTTTCTGACGTACCATTATCTTCATACAGCCATGGAAGGTAGGTGGATTTTGACTTCATTTCTGTTGTTTAAGCTCTTAATTTGTGAAGGGTTGAATAATGAGATATGTCTAACTTAAATTTTGTTGTAGAATCTCTGGTTTGTGATAACGTTATTTAATGATGTTGATGATATTTCTACAACTCTATTTTTACTATTGTTAGCAGCCATTTTAGTGTATGATAGTAGTTCATCTTCTGTTTAGGGTGACTGATCACAAATTGCTTTCAGGTTCACAAAGATCACAGGCTCCCATCAGGACTTATCTGGGTGAAATTGATGGTGGGCTTAAATTATCTTTGCCTGTTTTTGGTCTTGCTTCGTATAAGTTCAAGGGTTCCCTTTGGACTCCTAACGGTGGAAAAGAGCTCCAATTAGCTAGCTCTTTATTGCAGTCCGCGGACGATTGGTTAAGACTGCTTCAGGTCAGCCACCCAGATTTCCTGTTTTTCAGCCGTCGCTGATGTTGAGGTGGCAGTAACATTTTAACTTCGGCTGTTGAAGATGTGGTCTTGCCATTTCAGTACCAGCTTGACCCATATATGTCGACAGAGGAGTTGTACACCAAATTGACACAGACAATGAGGAAAAAAAATGGTTAAAAAAAAAAGGAAGGCCAGAGACAAATGCCCCTTGTAATGCCCTTCTGGAAGTTCTGATATAATATAGCGAGGAATGAGAAAGTTAGTGGGAATAAAAACAGAGAAGCTTTAGATGAGCATCTCTATTAATGCTTCTCATGGACTTGGTAATGGTGGGTGGATAGAGTAAGAGAAGCTTCTGAAATTGCTGGCTGTGATACCTGTCATGAGATGGTTTTGTTGTCCACAGCACATGGAGGAACCACATCTATTGCTTCCTGATTTCCCCCCAGCCATTTTTGGTGTGTTGGTATGGTGTTTAAAGAGAACAGGCTGTATTTTTTATTGTCCTGATTATGTATAGGGCCAAGCTTTAATTTATGGTGGATTTGGAATGCAAGGGTTGCTGGTGTTTGAACTGGCCCAACGTTTCTAATTAAATACTAGTAGCTTTATTACAGTTGTATAACTTGTTTTATAAGGTTTTTGACTTTTGATTCCAATTGAAAAAAAAGTGGTTAGGATTAAAATGAGTTCCAAGTATACAAGTCATTTCTGCGTGCATGATGGTTTTGGCAACAATGTTTCGCCTTTTCATGAGCATTGCGATTTGCAAGTGAACTTTGCTATATGGCTTCTACTGTATCTAGGTTCTGATTGAAATCTTAGGGGTGCTGATTCTTATAGCGATGATGGCTTTGTTGTTGCCTTGGTGTTATTTACATACGTGGAAGTCGCAAGATGAGTGCAAGTTTTAGACAATTAAGGTTGTGGAAATAACAATAATGAATTATTCTCCGCATTTATTTAATTTAGAGAAAATTAATTTACTTAGTTCCTATATATATTTGATATTCTAGACCTTATGTTTTTATTTAATTATAACTTAGTCTTCAAATTTTAATTTAATAAGACTTAATCCTTATAGTTTAACTTTGAATTTTTATTTAGTAAAACTATTTTTTAATACATATGTATAGTATAAACTGCAAAATATTTTAAGTAAATATCTAAAAGAAAATAATTAATTTCGGAGTATAATTAGCATGATACAAACCCTGACATATAAATCATACAAATCTAAATTATTTATCATTGAATATGAAACTAATTTCTAGTCTTGAAAGCTGTGTTTGTGTCTTGATTTTTTTTTTAAAAACAATTGTGCAATCTAAGGGCTTACCCGAAAGCATTTTTGAAGCGTGATCCTCCATTTTGACAGGGCCACAAATGTTTCTCGACCGGACAGGCCCAACTTATGTTGTTGGTTCTATTCACATGTGCTCAAACTATTTTTCTTCTTTTAAAAATTAGAAAACTTGGTTTTCAAAACCGCCGTAGAGGTTAAAGGTTTGCATTAGTGATGCATGGTTGGGAAATAACATATAACTATATCAATAGAAATGCAAACAATTATACAGAATGGTTGGGAAAGAAGTTCATAATATGACTGCATCACTGAGAGAAACTCCACCATATTGCAGTGAACTCATGAGCATTAATTTGACACAATATGACTATGGGTTAATCTTTTTTTCTTAATTTTTTTATTTTCCTTTTTCTATTTCTTAAGGCTATGCCTTCCTTTATACATACATACATACATGCATACATATATATATATATATATGGGTTAATGAGCATCCTAAATTTTAAATTATTATATAAATGACATTCTAGATCTTGAACTTCTAAAATATACAAAACTCTTAAATTTTAAATTCTAAGCAGTTGAAACTCTATTATTAAGTTAAAGAATTGACCATTATTTTTAAGGGTTAAGATAAGTGTCATATCAATACGCAACTCGAGCCTTACAAATATAAAAGTAACAGTCATTTTTTTTTAACTTAACGGCAAACTTTAAGAGTTTAAAATTTAGAAGTTGAGAAAAATTTTTGCACATTAAATAATTCAGGATTTATGATGTTATTTGCGTAATGGTTTATTATCTAGAAAGCTCATTAACCCTATATGTGTGTGAAATAGTTAGAAAACTTGAGAGGGAGTGGATGCAAATCCATTTCCCAACTTCACCAATAGTGGTTGCCTGTTCTAAGTTCAATATTTATGGAAAAAAATAAGTTTAAATATACTCAAGTTGTTATTTACGTATAATTAATTTATTATTTATATATATTTAAATTGTTAAGTAATTATCATAAGTCATGTTGTCCTTTATTTTAACCCAAGTTACTATTTAAGTATAATTAAATTTTTATTTGCGGATATCCAATTTTTTTATTTAATTACTACAAATCAAATTGATATTTTCTTAAATCTGAGTTGTTATTCATATACAACTAAGTGGTTAAACTTGTATTTTTTTTATATGAAACTTATTTTGGCATTTACATACGGTTCTATTTGGTTATTAGAAAAGAATACAATGAAATGTATTAAAAAAAATTAACACAAAAATGAATTAAATTATCCTTTCACTTCATGAAAAGTATGATAAAATTCATTAATATATATATACATATATATTAAAAATGTAGGAATTATCACACCTTTCAAGAATATCATGAATCATAATTCATAACCTCATAAATTAAATTACTCATCTCCTCTATAAATGTGGTTAACTATTCATTTTGATTATCTCCTCTTTATTTTTATTTTTTTTAATTCATTTCATTTTCTAGAGCAAATATTTATTGATTTTGATTATGTAACTGTCTGACGGCAAAACTGCTATTCAAATTCTATTTTTTTTTTGGGGGGGGGGTTGCTATCCAAATGCAAGTGCTTTTACAGTAAGCAAGCAGAGGAGGACCCACATATACTTGAAGGATGGCAATTCCTCCTCTTAGTTTTGTTTCCTTATATAAATATGGAATGAGTTTTAATTTACTTTCATTGATGTGTTAGTTTTGAAATCACTAATTGAAAGAAAAAGAAGAGAAGAGAAAGTAAGAGAGAGAAAAAGATATGACATTCATCTAGGTCTATGTGAAGAGCCAGGATATGAAGTTTGTTTTCGAAAAGAGGATGTAGTATATTTAGAACTTTAGATTTAAGATACTCATTAAAATTTAAAATAATGAGTAGTAAGTAGAGTAAAAAATAAGAATTAGGTCTAAAAGACTGCTCGTTTAAGCTTATTTTTATAAAAGTTTGGGATTGAAAAAATGATACTTTTTAAGAAAATTGAACTTTCAAACCCAGCCCTGAAAAAACAGGTTCGGGCTCATGCGGCTCTTTTAGGCCCGTTTTTATTTTTCTCTTAAAAAATAAAAATTTTAAATTTTTAAATTAAATTTAAACTTTAGAATATATGTTTATACTATAAAATTAGAATTTCTATTATTTATTTTTAATTTTTAAACATTATAATTTGTATTTTTTAAAAAATATATGAAGTAATATAATTAAAAATTTTAATTTTTAAAAATTTTAAAAATAAAAAATAATAATAAGGACTTACGAGCCTGACCTTAAGCTCTTTATATAAGGGTTGAGTTTTAAAAAATGAGACATTTTAAGAAAGTCGGGCTTAAAGGCTTGAGCCCTTAGTAGTAAGGGATGATAGAGATTTTAGAATAATGTAAATATTATGAATGGTTATTTTTTATTGAAAGTTTTGGTTCAGATCGTTTAATTCTTATGTTTTTATTGGAATAATTTATTTTATTTTTAAAATTTTTTCTTTATTTTTACTGAAAATCATTTATAGAGTTTTAAATAACTTTAACCTTTATATATTCAATTTTTTATTTAAATTTTTAAGCAAATTAGATTGGTATACGTGGTAGAAGTCTCATTATTATTTAAACAAATGGTTGGGGTCTAAATCTCAACTTACATATAGAAAATTCAGCTTATATGGTTCTATGATTCTATTCATTGCTTTTAGCAGGTGGGGTAACTTAAATTTTTCTTTCAATATATATAATCCCTTAGTTTCTAATTGTAGAAGAAAAAGGCTGTATCATATAATTTTAAAAAATCAATTAATTTTATTAATTATGTTTGAAAATAGAAAAAATTGGACAAGATACACTTTATTAATTGTTTCTTATAATTATGAATGATGAAATTATGAGAAATAATTTAAAAAATTTATAATAAATGCTTATTGAAAAATTTAATTTTATTAATAAAAAAATAAATTAAAAATAATAGTTTCTTCTATGAATAAAAAAAGAGGAAGTATCATCTGTGTCTTGCCAAAAAAAACAAATTATGCATGCATTAGCCTCAAGTCCTAGGTCTGCCACAGTTAGTAAGGCCTATAGCTTATTTTTGTTTAATTAAAAAAATGTTGTTTTTAATGAAAAAGATTATGATTATTTGACTACGAAATCTCAAGCTCATACCTTTGCAAATTACTTTAATTGAGCCCCACAATACTTTGAGTCTCACCTACTGAAATAATCATATCACGATTCGGTGGGTGGTGGGGGAGGAAAGCCAACGGAGTGGCCAATCATACTTAATAATGTCTATGAAGAAGCAAATCATCATGTTAACGAGTACCTATACTCATTGATGCTCTATTAGATATTCCAAGGCTCTACTAGGCCTACCTTGTTTTTGGGCTTCTCTTTTTCTTAATCCATTTTTCCATATAAAAAGGTACAAATATTTATGTGCGTTTGTTTTTGTTTTTGTTTTTAATATAAGGTCACAGAAAAACTATACATAAAAATCAAATCATATAAAAAACATAAGGTTTCTCCATCTTAATGGGAGATCGTTGTAGATCATAATATTAAGGTTGTTTTTAGGAGCTTGGTAAACAAGAAGATTTGTACATTTGTTCACTTATTTGAAGACATGGTTAAATTTAATTATCTAATCTTTCATAGCAAAATTTCTAATTTTGTTAATGATTTTAGAGAAGGGGTGAGCCTAACAAAACTGTGTTGGATGAGCAACAAAACTTTTAAGAAATCAAAGTAAATGAGAATATTAGTAAGTTTGACATTTTAGCAACGTTTGATTCCTTCCAAAATATCTTAAAGTTATATAGTTATGCTTGGATGATATTGATAAATATCGAGAAACCCTTAAACCAATTCTTTTGGTTGTCACATATGTGGCCTCTACAAACAATAGTCCCATTGATGTTTGTTGAACCGTTAATATCGAATCTAACCCATCCTGCTTTAGGAGGGTTCCATTTTGCTTTAGATCTTTTAGTTCCCTTCCTAAAGATGTTGATTGTAGACTGGAGTTTGAGATCATTAAGAATTTTTTGGGTGGAGCAGAACGCAATATTTGTTTTTTGATAATCTTCTTCAGAGAGTATTGAACTGCAAATGCTTTTTCATATGTTCCAAGAAACTTGAGCAAAGAGTCTTTGTCAAAATATTCTTCTTGCTCCTAAACTTCAAGTATCATTTTTTACATTTTAAATTATCCAATCCTATTTTATGATAGGAGGTGAATGATGATTGATTGCTCTCTATTTTTTTTTGTTTGTTTAGGTTCTTGTACTGTATTTCTCTATTTCTCTTCAGTTATTGAATTAATTTCAGCTCAGTTAAAAAAAAAAAATCCAATCCTATATAGATAGGGAGAA